TTGGCCACCCATGATCTAGACCATGTGGTCTACATCAAACTTCACCAGCCTTTGCATTTATAACCCATAAATTAAAATTTATATTTTGCAGCAGTAGCTGCAGTAGTTTATAGGTCTCAGCAATTTCTAACAATAACTTGACACGAAAAAAAATATTACAGCTGCAAAATAAACCACAACTCCTTGCAATCGATATCAGGAATCGAGTTCAGCTTCCTACAATTATCTGTATAAATATTGGTTTCGATTTATCCCCGTATTTACCGAGGCAGCACAAACAGTCACGTTGACGCGAGGTCCTACTCAAACAAATTGAGGTTCCTCCTTATATGTCGACTATTTCCTCCGCCTTCCTGGATTATTTGTACGGTTTGCTAAAGGTGTGGAAGGAAAATATATTGGTTTAACGATAGCTCTGTATTTCTGTATTTTTGCTCAAGTATAACTGAGGGAAGACGCAAGATTTTTGGTTTCATGACGCATCTGATGTAGAAAATTTTATTCAATATGGTAAGGATGGTCCGTTTAGGAATGAAGGAGATTAAAAATCTTGGAGTAGTATATTGGAATCTTGTAGTCTTGCTTTTGAGTTTTATCCTCAAACTCAAAAGCATTTATTTCAATTAAACCATAATTTGGTACTTTTGAAACATCAACAAATATGAAATAAATAATAGTCTGTCAGTCTGTCCGTCAGTGAAGCTAGGCGCTCGTTCCAAAATGTCGATTCGAGTGGAGAAGAACGAGCAAGAAACTCCATTCCTTACTCTTTTAAAAAAAAAATGTTTTACAGTGCTCTCCATGGAATAAGTCACTATCCACGTTGCTTGTATTCCTCAAGTGATAGGAGGCCTTGACATAACGTCCAATGGATAATTATTGCAGATCAGGTGGGCAGATCAACTAGCAATAGGTATTCTTACATTCATATGAAGTGGATAACAACACTAAATTTTCAGATGTTTCTAGAAGACCCGAACCGTTACTTCGATAAGAGCATAATCAGACCTAAATAAAGTCCTTGGCGTAAATCCTATGGGTATACCGTGTCTTGCAGACTAAAGATAACGTGTTATCAGTAAGTATTTGTACATAGTAACACGAGTTCAGTTGAGAGGGTAATGATTCATTTTCAACTCGTTCGCATACCTACTGTCAACTTGGAAGCAGTTAGCTTTCTGATAGACTCGCAGAATGGGTAATATAACATGTAACTTCAAAACAATAAAATGCTTGACTATGCTCATGGGTGCAGTAGATACTACTATTTTTAGCACAGGGAATAAGTTAAAATCAATAAATACTTTAAAAAATTCAGGTGACACTGATCAAAAACACGAAACCAAGAAGTATGGCAGAAAAAAGGGGAAAGACCACAGACTGAGAATGAATTATTAACTACAATGCGATATTTGTTCCTTTAAAAACACATGGCTGTAATGATGCCATTAAATGGCGTTGGATACTTATAATACTAACCCTACTAATAATATACAGAAACGAGATTATACCAAAAACAACGCATTTTTTTATTTACTGACACTTCAAAACTTTTTCCAGTTTAAAACACGTGGCTTGCATATAAAATACATTGATATGTGTCGAAAACATATTAATTTCCCCTTTCCTTTCCGTTTGTCAGTTTTGGACGTTGCTATATTGAAAATTCACCTTTAAAGTTGACCCGAATATGTCTGTACGTCTGTCTGTAAAGCTGGAAACCGCAGTATTCAATTCTACGAATCATAAAATGGATGGACAATTAAAATGGAATGAGAACCTGTATCATTTTTTTGCCTATTGTTTGAAAAAAGGATAAAAAATGTTGGGGTTTTTACTGGTACATTGTGTGTAGACAATGATTTTTATGTTATTGTGTTTTAGCTGCCTCGCTGGCTGAGTGCTCGCAAGTGCTACTGCCAGGCAAGGGGTCTGGGGTTCGATTCCCGGGTCGGGCAAAGTACTACTGGGTTTTTAAACAATTCTCAGTGGTAGCACGGAGTCTGGAATTGTGCCCGGTATATGTCAATAGGTTCACCCCCTATTACATGGGACTCATAACATAAATAGTGAAAAGTGGGTGTTACATTGTACAGTGGCATTAAGTGCCGTAATGTGCACCTCTGCCTACCCACATAACATCCAGACCCGAAACAACAATTTGTGGATCACACAGATTTGCTACGTGCGGGAATCCAACCCGCTGCACGTAGCGCGGCAGCCGGTTACCCAACCACCGCGCCAACCATGCTTTTTTTACTGACTAAAAATACTACTAACTAGATTAACGAAATCATTTTTACTTCTAGATGTCAGAAAACGGTACCTCCTAAACAATATCAAAGCTTACTTTACTTAAACAACAAAGTATGTAACTAGTTAACATTTTATTACAATATTATAGTACAGTGACATTGCTAGGTCATTGCCGAGCGGTTATGATCAGACATTAACATATTTCGTCAAACCACAGTGGCATGGAGTGGAGGAAAGAAAGTTGAGTTGAAACTATGTTATTGGTACAAAACTGTGCCATGGGAAACACTTCGGTGAAACTGTCGTGGCTGCTGGCTGCAGCGTTGCACTATCAAATGTTTGAGCTGCATTGTTTTATTGCAGGTTCAAAACAAGAAATAATTCTTATATAAACATAACATAACATAACATCACGCCTTTCTTCCCCGAAGGGGTAGACAGAGGTGCACATTACGACACTTAATGCCACTGTACAATGTAACACCCACTTTTCACTATTTATGTTATAAGTCCCACGTAATAGAGGGTGAGCCTATTGTCAGGCACTATTCGAGACTACTACTGGGATTTTTAAAAAACCTAGTAATATTTTTGCCCGACCCGGGAATCGAACTCGAGACCCCTTGCCCGGCAGTCGCATTTGCGACCACTCGGCCAACGAGGCAGTCAGTTATACAAACTACGTTTAAAAAACCGAATTCAACCCCCTCTTTATTTCTAAGTCGGTTGATTAACTCGTCGAGTACCGTCATTATAGACACAATTAAAGAACAATAGGTTGCGGCCACCGGCGACCGCGCGGTGTTCGACAGTTTCTCCTAAGTGTAACAAACACTTTCCTGAAAGCCGCATCAAAATCTGTTCAGTCAATAGCGAGGTAATTACGTACAAACATACATACATACGTACGTACGTACAGGGCAAACAGAGAACGTCCTTTTTTGAAGTTTGTTAAAAAACCAAAACCGAACAAACAAATGTGCAATTTTGAAGGATGGAGATTCGAAGAGCAATATGTTTTTATTTCTTTAGAGGTATGTGTTTATCTTATGACCCTCTTTTTGGGTTCAAAAGCACATACGACTACTCAGTCGAGGAGGTAAACAGGAAATGTTTTTGGACCTTGAAATTCAGTGATGTAAGGATAGAAATTTGTAGTTATTGTACCATAACGGTTGACAAACTGAGTTTCCTTATACAATTTTGTTAATACACACTGCTTCGATTTATTGTTACCCAAGTATTAGACAGAGTTCCAAATTAGTGAAAATCTTAACCTAATCCTGGGCTTTATGGCTTTTTTTTATGCCACGACCTGATGGTCAGCGGTTACTGTGATCTCTGCACGCTTGCAAGACTTGACAATACATGTGCCTTGCGAACCCTCAAGTAACCTATTCACTCCCCTCTTGAAGAACCCCATGTTGTAGGCCACTGGGAATACCTCGTCTTAAACTGTCAAACACCAAGCGGTCACCGGTGACCGCAACCTATTGTTCTATAATTGTGTCTACAAAACCGGTACTCGACGAGTTAAGAATCTATTTTTGGAGAATCTACTTTATCTACTCTTCAGAGTACTAGAGATTATACAGTATGTATTTTCCAACTCAGAAACCAATGCACTATTGCATTCTGTACTACCCACCTCCACAACATGTAACGCAAGTGGCATTATATACAGTCGGTGCTCCAGAGACATGGTTGTTTGAAAATGTGCTTTAAACGCAGACACGTGTGAACTTACACCTGTGCCACCTTATACCTAGTGGAACCTAGGATACCTAAGTGCAAAAACTATGTTACTAAGTACATTCTGTTTATATTCCTTTGGAAATTAGGGTTTAGAAATGAAATATCTATAGAAACTATAGTAAAACATACAAACATCTACTATCAGCTAACTCGGGAATAAATAACGTTCTATTCAGGCATGCCCGACTAGTTTCGAGCTTAACCAGAGCCCGTAACACATTGATAAGAGTAAGCTATTTGAACATAATCTACTCTAATCCTTAAAATTCTCAAAAGTTCTATCGAGTCAATGATTCTTGAAGATCTTGGAGACATTCACGATGAGACGGTGTACTAAATATTATAAAATTAATGTTAAGATACAGTGAGAGAGGCTGGTCATGCCACGCTGTTGTGGAGAATTGCGACATATAGTTAGAACACATAAAGTAAGCAAGCTATGTGATCGCAAATTAAAAAGCTGCATAAAAGAAATTAAAAAAAAAATAATGGCAGTCATTTAGTATCCACGAAGTCGTCATGTTCTTCTGGAGTTTGTAGACAACTACGAGTTAGGTTCTAGGTTATAAAAAAGTACAGTTTACACATTTTTATATGAAGTCATATTGTCTGAACAGTCTATCACGTATTTGTCACATTCGTATAGACTATAGGCTAATCCAGACTGTATTTCGGCATCGCTAATATTTTAGAAGCGGCAATAGCTTGTTACACAACATGAAAAGCCATTTTCCTTGCATCAAAGTATGTATTTGAAATCTTCTGAGAGTTTCTGTCAAATAGAAGATCGATCCCGAGATTTTAGATGGAGATCGGTTCCTATTTGACAAATGTTGACAGATTTTCTGTCTTATTTATTTCTTGCTGTAACATAAGCTTGTTACTATATGTGTAAAGTCTATATGAATGCAAATAAAGTAATAATTGCTACCAATTCATGCAGTATTGGTATAAAGCCGACAACACTATACACGGCTCTACAGACGTACCTCGTGTCCTCGCTTGGAGTTCTCTCCCTGGAAGGGAAAATATCGTGAAAATATTATCAAATACAATCAGGTTTAATAGTTTAGTCGCATATCGTTTCATTGCACTTCTTGAATATAAAACTCAATTATTTGAAGAATTTATTTTTATAAACATTCGACAATTCTTTTTTAGTTTGTGATTCATAACGTCATCATCTTTTTATTTATAAATATAAAAAGAATAAAGCATGCATTAGATCTAAAATGACGGAATTCTGTTGGGTACTTCGTTGGTACAAGTCATAATCATAGAACTATATTTTGGGACATTTACTATGTGGTGTATAACGCTTAACCGTACACTACTTGAAGGTTTTTACACCTTTTTACATATTTCGGTTTGCGAATACCTTATATTCGTATAAAAAGAGCCTTAGGAACAGAGAATCAAGAGAGATTATATAGCAAGATAAACAAACTTATATCCCTTTTCTACATCAAAGAAATCTCCCTCCAACATACGGAAAACACACAGGTTAATGAAATTAGATAGTCTATCTTCAATTGATTTGTCCCACGTTAACTGTTCTATATCAAATGGTGTCTAGTAACGATCGCACTGCCAGGTAGCTGGTAGATATATAGGTCACAACACTGTTACATAAGTGGTAGTGTATAATTATGATATAACGTGACTGTTTAGATAGAAGCTTAGTTGTATCATGGCATGGAGTTCTATTCAAAAATTATATTCCTTGAAAGAACATAGGGCGGGAGCCATGCTTCGGCACGGATGGGCCAGCTCGACCGAAGTGATACCACGGCCTCACAAAAAACCGATGTGAAACAACGCTTGCATTGTCTTTCGTCGTGTGAGTAAGGTTACCGGAGGCCCAATAACTCTTCCCCCCTCCCCAATTTCCCCAATTCCCAACATCCTTAAGTTCCTAGTCTTAGTCTTAAAGGGCGGTAACGCACTAGTAACGCCTCTGGTGATCCGGGTGTCCATGGGCGACGCCGATTGAAACACTTTACCATTAGGCGATAATAAAAACAAGATTTATTATTTAAATAATCTGCAAATATAGTATACAGGCAAACGTTATTCAGATCTAAATTGTAATGGAACACACACTATTCAATTATTACTAGTTCGATTCCATAGCATTCATGAGGCGCTATTTTAGCCTCCATCCATAGATATAACAATTTGTATGCCTCCATCATTATTATTACTGAAAAGACGACACAAAAGTAATTCTGCAATCTTAATAGAAGTATATGAGTAGTAGATAGTATATAAATTATTCTGTTTATGTAATTTTTTAATGGATTTTCAGTAAACATTGAACAGTGGAGCCCCAAAATACAAGTTTTTGGTGAAGGTCGTACAAATATTTGCGTATGATATTGAAAGTCGCTAGCTTACAAGATAGCCTAATTACACTAGATAAAGTAGTGCGTTGTGACATTGGGAGATGTTGATATAAAACGAAAAAATAACATAACACAACATCACGCCTTTTATCCCCGAAGGGGTAGGCAGAGGTGCACATTATCCCACTGTACAATGTAACACCCACTTTTCACTATTTATGTTATGAGTCCCATGTAATAGAGGGTGAGCCTACGAAAAAATAGTTTACTACAGTAATTACGCTATTTTGTTTTGTAATGGTTAAATGTCGTGATGGCTCGGAGGTCTAAGACATACGCTTCTCATGCATGAGAGTGCAGGTTTGAAACCTACCAGCAAGATAAGTGAAATTCCCGCATTGAGCAAGCGTGGTGATTAATGCTCAAACCTTCTCTGTGTGAAAAGAGGCCTTTGGTCAGCAGTGCAGGCCACACAATAACAAATATACAGTACAGATGAAGATACAACAGTCTTCCATGCTCTCTTTAGAGAATTTCCACGTTCGAAGTGATAAGATACTCACAGCTTATCACACGACTGTTTACCTACAACAACGTATAGTAAGACACACCACTTGTCATTGAAGTGGGTTGCGTAAAGAGATATTGGGTGTTTCTAGTGTCAAGATCCTAGGTACTTGGTATTATTGGCTTAGTTAGTTTTGGGGTAGGGTTTGTAGACTGTCTGTTTGTTGAGGGCTATAGATAGTTTTTATATCCTGAATATGGTATTCATAAAATCTACTTTGGGATTGAGGATGGGAAAGATTTCATAAGTCGCCTTCATCAATGAAGAAATGCATAAATAATGACTATTTATCTTCACTACTCTTTATTCCGATTTCTACCAAATAGAAAGCCCACGTACCAAAAACACTGCCTCTTTGGCCGAGTGGTCGTAAGTGCGACTACTAGTAACACAATTGTGCCCGATATATGGCAATAATAATAATAATAATAATAATACCAATTTATTTCAGATAATAAAATCCATAAAATTACATTTAAAACGAATTCAGGTTCAAAAATTTTATAAATAAATTAAAAATTAAAAAATTGTCTCTATAGCAAGTATCATAATAAATTAAAAATAATAAAAATAATAATCAATTCGTTCATACATCAAATAATCAAAATAATAAATTACACAAACACACAAAGAACATACATAGTCAATAGTCCATTTCAATTGTAAATAGTCAATTAATTATAAGTAGTCAGTTTCAATTATAAATAGTCAATACAATCCCAATATAAGTCAATAATAATATAAGTCAATAAAAATACTAGTCAATAGATAATAATACAAGTAAATAATATAGTTATGTCAATTATAAATATGAGGGACCGCTCGCGTGCAATCGCATCCACCTCATCAACATTGGTGAGTCCCACCGCTGGGACAATGTGCTCAGAATACCATTCGGGCTGCCACGCACACGCCTTAACAGCGAGGCGCACCTTTTCCTGATTATGGCGAAAAAATCATCAGTTTGCGCCTCAGCAAACATAGCGGAAGCACTACAAAAACGTGGCAGCCCCAATAATATCCTAAACGCATTGTTATACTGCACTCGCAGTGCACTGTACCCCCGCAGCGCAAAATTAGTCCACAAGCTGCACGTGTAAAAGGTCTGGCAGTACGCCTTGAATAATGTTATCTTTACTTGAGTAGTACAACGTGCAAACCTGCGAGCCAACATATTGCACCGGATGGACAGAGCCCTGCGTTCCCTCTCGATGTCCTCATTGTCACACAAGTCTTCAGTCACCCAGTGACCCAGATACTTAAAGGCACTAACCTTTTTCAGACGCATGCCGCACAGAGTTACATGAGGAACATGGGAGTAGCATTTGCTACGTGACTTGAACACCATGAACTCACTCTTATTCGCGTTGTATCTGAGCCCATGGGCTTCCGCGTATGATTGGCAGATGCACATCAATTTCCGTAACGCTGCAATCGATGGGCTCAGTAACACCATATCATCGGCGTAGCTTATGTTATTTATACTGACTCCGTCTATGGAACATCCGATACCAGTGTTACTGAGCTCACCGATGAGCCGGTTCATGTACAAATTAAAGAGATGAGGGGAGCTAATTCCCCCCTGCCTAACTCCGCATTCCAAACCGTATACATCAGAATGTGCACCAGCCCATCTCACTCTGTTGCGCTGATTGGCGTACCAGAACCTCAGCAATGAAATCACCTCCCGAGGTACCTCCGTGTCACTCTCCAGCTTCTGCCACAGCTTGTCGTAACACACCAAGTCAAAAGCTTTTGATAAATCAAGGTAACATGCATAGACAGGTGTGCCACGATCAGTATAATACTGAACAGTCTGCTTGAGGCAGAGGATAGCATCCTCAGTCGAAAGTCCTGGTCTAAACCCAAACTGGGCGTCGTGTAATTGTAGATGCTCTTCCAACTGCTTATCAAGCAAACTGTCCAGCACCTTTGCTATAACAGTAGCCAGAGAGATAGGTCTATAATTTGACAGATCCGATGAGTCACCTGTTTTATTCTTAAGGATCGGCACCACGGTAGTGTACATAAGTCTCTCGGGTAAGTAACTGTGACCAATACAGAGGCTGAAGAACATCGAGAGAACTCTAGGCAGGTGTATTCCCGCATACTTAAGGTGCTCGATGCTGAGATCATCGTGACCAGGAGACTTGCCCCTCACCATTTTATTAATAATATTAGCAACTGTCTTCGCATTACATCGTACACTAATTGCGGTGATGAGATTCTCAGCAGCGGGCACCCCAGACGCCGGCCCGAGCGGGGACTCAACCCTGAAATGCCGCCGGAACGCACAAGCTATATCATGGGGGTCATGCTCACCACCAACGCTAGCAGGAAGGCCCGACCCCGGGCTTAGCTTTTTAGTGTTTTTCCAAAAACTACTAAAGTCTTTATTAAAATGGTTTTCTGCTATAATGTTCATTTTTATTTGTTTTTCATTTTTCTGACAAGAAGCCAACCTTGATTTAAACATTTTTCTGGATTCACACATACTAATATATAAATCACCAGACTTTGGTTTCCCAGCGGACACCCACGTCTGAAAACAAAATCGAGCCCTCCTGTGAGCGTCACTGACATACCGGTTCCAGCCAGTAACATACCTATAGTTGTTACTTTTAGGCAAAGAATAGCTAGCTTTTGCAGCCCTCGTCAAAATATTAATTATCTTATTATACATGTCATCTAATAAAAATTTATGCTCGTCAATATTACACATACCGTCAGCACAACATTGAAATTCCGGGGGAAAGTCAATTAACTTTAATTTAGAATTACAAATACGATGATATTTGTCTATTTGATTTGTATTTCTTTCTCCCCATTTTACACTATTGCGAGATATATTACTTGTTTTTGTCGGCTGTTGGCAACTTGAGCGGATAGCATTAAAATTACAAACAAGCAATAGCGGATAATGATCGGACCAATATACATCGCTGTTAAGTACAGACGCACTTAATATGGCCGAACGCGCAGCGGTCGTCACCACACAATGATCGAGCCAGCTGTGGCTGCCACTCGCACCGCACACATACGTATAAGTGTCATTAGGTAAAAGTTCCGTATCTACGCACGACCAAGATTGTTCCGTGCAAAA